ACGACAGGTTCGTTTGATGTGCAATCTGGTAGAGGGAGAAAACGAGTGCATTCGACGGTAGTTGAAGAAAGTGGCCACAGCATTACAGGAGGGGTCGGCCGGTGCAGTGTGCAAGCGTGCAGTGCACGAGGAATTGCCCCGAACATTGGACAGGCCTACGAGCACGGTGCTGAAAATTGTACGAAACATCCTGCAATGCTATCCGTACAAAATTTGCCATGTGCAGGAATTGCTTCCGTCTGACCTGGCAGTAAGGGAGACGTTTGCGTTAGAATTCAGAAGTGGATAATGAATGGCCGTGGAAAATTTTGTGGACAGATAAAGTCCATTTCCATCTGACAGGGCATACGTCAATACCCAGAATTGTTGAATATGGGCAATAGAAAATCCACTGGCAACCCACCCCGTACCACTTCATCCTGAAAAGGTCATGGTGTGGTGCGGCTTTACGACATCATTCGTCCTACAGCCATATTTTTTCAAGCAGACGGGTGCTTCCGATCCTGTTACCGCAACCGTCACTGGTCAGAGGTTTACATCTCTTCCAGCTCTGCAACCAGCGTGGATGTGTCGATGAAATAATTTTTATACACGATGACGCATTCCTCCGTACATTGCACATCCCATGAAGCAGCTGCTGTGGTGCCATTTCGGAAATGCTCGAATTATCAGCGTCATTTCCCTACAAGCTGGCCGTTCCGATCGCCTGATCTTACTCCGTGTGATTTCTGGCTGTGGGGATATCTGAAGGATGTTGTGTTCCGCGCTCCAATGCAAATTTAGCGGAATTAAAGGCACGCATTTCGCAACACATTCTGAACATCACCCCGGAGACATTGCGATCAGTTGTGGAACATGCTGTTTGTCGCTTTCAACTTGTTGCACACTACGGTGGACACCATATTGAACTGTTTGCGCCAGTCTCGCGACAGTTACGAACTTCTTGATGAATGGTTTTATGCGGATGTCGCCGCAAAACTCTTGAAACCGATTTGTCCCTTTCGATGTGATATGTACAGTCATGCAATAAAATTATTCAACAGTCAACTGTCAATGCGTTTTAATGTGTAACATCCCCTTAGCCGTTGTTTACGAATCATTTCTCGTTTCTCGTCGTGATTCTGCTGCTTACAGCGCCATCTGTTGCTAACTTTTGAAACTAAATTTTTTCTTCTGCCATACGCTTTCCGCCTTCTTCAATAACATTCCTTTCAAATTTCACATCATTTTATCAGTGGTTATTTTTTTATAGCGTTTTGAAACTTAAACTTTAATTATAATCACCCTGTATATCAATACATCTAGAAATAATTGAAGGGGTACGTTGTAGCATACGTTTAATGTCCATATTCGTTGTTATTTTTAGTCAGTTCTTCAGAATGCCTGGGATGCACGTGGCTTAGGGTTCGTTGAAAATCCCATTGTCAGTAGCGTGCTCAGTCAAAAGGTCACACTTTTGGTGGTCGTGTGGTGCTTAATGCATGATATAATTAAGAAAATAAGAATAGACAATCTCCTATAACAAAAGAATATATTAAGTACTAAATTACAATTTAAATTACATTGCTGAGATCAACACAGAGCTCGGAACACAGTTCGTGCTAGCGTCGCGTACACTTGTCCGACGAGAAGTCTGAGTGAGTAATGACGTCGCTTTGCTGCTCCGATTAAGAACTGGATTTTACACGTGGCGCCATCTCATGAATAGAAGTTGAAGTATCTGTCGGAACGCCACACATAGTCGAAACACATCTGTATACAGTGGAATACATTTAACGTGAAATATCGGTTAACATGAAATAATGCAACGGTCCCGACAAACTACTATGTATTTTCATGCATTTTATTTCTCTTAACATGAAACAAAAATTGCTTAACACGAAAAGATATCCTTTCTGGAAATGAACAAAATACAGAAAACACTGGCATCGCAGGCAAGATTTAAGCGGGGTGTGAAATGAAAGAGAGGTGGTTTCACATGTTTCGTAGAAAAGAGGCTAATTGGCTTTGAAATACCCTCGGAATAGCCTGCGACACGAGCCAGTTTTGTTATCTACGCTACTTTCGCCTTCCACGTCTACAAACGCTACACAAACATCTCATCTCTCATCGTTAGCTTTGGAAATTCAGTGATGAGTACATGGCAGTGTGAGTAAAAATTAGTGAGTTTGGTTCATATGTTGCACTGCATAGAATTCAGCGACTCCAGGATGAATGAAAATTATATTCGTACACATGATTCTCAAAAGAGTATCAGATTCTTCGGTGCCGAAGAAAATGGAGAAGTAGGATATTGAAACTGAGCTGACACTTAATGAAATATTTGAGAAAGTTTCTGTATTAATGAACTGTCCTACGTACTATCGGAAGAATTCGTAGCAGTAGTTATGATAATGGTTATACAGCCCCAATTATGGCAGACAAAGTTATTTGGAGTTTGTGCAAAGCTAAAAAAATCATTGATGCAGATTCTGATGACGAAAATAAAAATGAATGCAGTTCCTGTTCCCATGTCTCTGAAATATGAAAAGAGAATATCATAAAAAGTATGGACAGTTATTTTGACGCACATTCCAATGGTTAAATGAATAACAAATGTTCGACATTGAACAATTTGATGCTAAAAAAAAGACAATGCAAGAAAAATATCAGATATTTTCCCCAAACTCAATGTTTTGTTTTCAAAATTCTTCTTCAATATGGTATCAAATCACGCAGTTCTATAGTGGCTCCGTCTTGTTCCATTGTGCTTTTATAAATACATGACATATATACATATCTATGTAAATAAAATGTACTTTAAATAAGCTTAATTTTGTTGAATATATGCTTTTTTTTTTCCTTTCAATATTCTTTAACACAAAAATATATTTCAGTCCCTTGCAGTTTTGTGTTAAATGATTTTCACTGTATATCTGTTGCACATAAATCCCTCTTACATAAAATATAAATGTATGTATAAAATAACTAAATAAATTGTAAAGGAAGTTTAATTAGCAACTATGAAATCTTAAAAAAGTACATAGTATGAAAATGAATTTTTCATTTTGAATGAACGGTATACCGCATTTAATCGGTATACCGTTCATTTTAATGGACGGATTTCTTTTTGAAATACCTTTCCTACCTATGTAGAGCAATTGGGTCTTCGTTGCAGAGATGATCAGTTTGTGACTCTTGGCCCAGGCTGCAAAGTCGTCGACTGCCTTTTGCGCCTTTTGTACCACGTCTTTCCTGCCAGTAATGACTAGAAGAAAATCATCTGCGAAGGCTTGTATATTCACATTTGGATTATTATCAAACAGAGTAAAGGCTGTGTTAGTCACCAAATTCCATAATGTGGGTCCCAAGCAGGAACCTTGGGGGCATCCTCTTTGCAGTTGGTAATTGATAACACCTTTATTCGTAGTAACCTGTACTGCTCTATCTTGCAGATAACTTCGCAAGAGCTTGATTAGCAGATAACTTCGCAAGAGCTTGCAGATAGCTTCGCAAGAGCTTGATGATGATATAGGACTGCTACAATATGTAGATGTGCACCTCGTATTTTAGTTGCAATCGGCCGCACCAAACGTATATAAATATATTTATAAATATATCCACTCTGTTACCCGGCTCAATGATCTCAGTTTCTTTACCATATATGTTTGTAAATTGTACATTTTTTTGCTTTAAAATGATGAATTATGTTGTTTTTATCTTCCGGTTAAGGGTTTTTATGCCTTTAGTAAATCTGTACGCAATAGTTTTAGAATTATCAACAATTTTAAAGTTGTTTAAGTGCCGCTGAGCCTTTTTTTTATGGCGGCCATTGATTGTTTACATTTGAAACCGCAGACTAGTGGATTTGTTGCCAATCTAGAAAAAACTTAGCATCGCAACAACAAAAATAACGCCTTCATTTATTATTGCCAATTAAATCATGCTTAATCCTTTCTGGAATTTTTTCGAGGTGTGTGTGTGTGATTATGGCAAAGCCTCGAGGGCTATCTGCCTAAGGGGAGGGATGCCTTCGTGGAGGACTTTCTTAGGGAAACTGGCTCGTATACACGTTACACATGGGAAAAACCACGAAAACACCCATGCAGCCAGCCCGTTCGCGAGATTCGAACCTCGGACCGAACTACCAGTGTTCAGCGACTTTACCGCTCGGCCGCTGGTGGGCCAATTTTTTCGAGGAACTAAGCGTTTAAGATTTACTTCGTAATTTTTAATATAGATATTTTGAGGTTTTATGTATTTTTGCCTTCTCGCGAAGTGAGAACTGAATTAATTGAATGAGAAATACTCAATCGTCTGTGAAAAACTGCTTCTTTTTTGTTTTGTTTGCTTAATTTCTTTTATACATCATTCTAGCTTTATCATAGTATTTGAATAGAACATGTGGCAACGATTAGATACTTCTATTCTTTAAATGATATAAATGTTGTGCATTATGAGTTATAATATGAACGAAATATAATACTGTTAAGTGAATCTAGCGCCAGTATGTCGCTATGGTAAACAAATACTAGAGTGAATTTTAAAGAATGCATTTATTCTATTGTGGTTTATGCGCTGTAAAAAAGTAGTATTAGATTTAATTCAATCCAATAAGTTTAAATAAAATGCAAGAAAAAATGCGTATAATTTAATATTCCGTACAAGGAAGTCATGTGGTGTACACATCAGATTTTTCCATATTTCTTTCGCGTTCGTTACATTGGAATGTATATTAACAGCAAACAAAACGTCTTAAGTCTGGCCAAGAGTGTGGATTAAAACACATTTGGGCGAGATCTCTGGATGTTCTGTCTCCTGGCTTTAAGCTACTATACACAAGTAATTCTCACATTTTAAAATGTGAATTTTATAATATGTGCAGTTTAGTAATAAACTGCACACATTATATCCTGTTATCATACCCACACATATACCTCCATTCTAATGCTAGTTTTAAAGAAGAAGAATAAAATATTTAAGAAGCTAACAATGCTTATTCCCTGGCTGTGTACGTTAATAAAAATGCACCTCCCTTTAAGATGAAGTACAATTCTTAGGTGCATCCTATTCTAGTTCAGAACTATGCATAATAATAAAAAAAAATAAAATAAAAAACTTACAGGATGCATTCCATATTCAGCAATAGTAGCAGAGTATACTGGATATTGTGGTATAGGTATCATTACTCCTGATGGCTTTGCTTTATCAGAACACTTGAACAAGCTCAATACATTCTAAAAAATGAGTTTGTAAGAATTCCTTAACTAGTTAAAAATATAAATCATCAATAAAATTAATAATAGATATGTATTTGTTCTAAGAAACATTTAAACAAAGATTTTAAAGAAAGATATAGACTCTTTCATAAAAGAAAAGTTGTAACAGACCTATTTAAGTGTAATTGAACTATTTTATTCACGCCATGAACTCATGAACTGTAACCGAACTATTTTATTTAAACGCCATCTCGTGGCGATATGAGAAAAACGTCAGTCGAACTCCAGCCGCCATGATGTTAGTTTACTATGTCTCTGTTATTCAACTGTTTGATGTTCCATTTGGTATATGTTTCATTTTTATGTATATTTCTTTTGTTTGTAACCACTAAATTTGAATCCAAAATGGCAACAAAATGTTTAGAATTTCTGTTTGGCTTTAACAAGCTCTTACTCCCGAATTTAACTTTTAGTTGCTGGAGATCGTCTCAGTTTCTTTTCAGGTGTGGACTACTGGTCAAATATTCTGGAAACCAATTCTGGAATTAAAATTGTCATACCGTGCTGCTAGCACATCGAATCATCAACTGGACAATTTCAACGGAAAAGTTAAGTTTCGTTTACATTATCGTTTAATCTGACTTTAAAGTTCTTTTAAACTGATTATTTATTATAAGCTGCTTCTTAAAGCAAATGTAAATTCTTTACTGAAATCTCATTTATTGATACTACATAAGAGTATTAAACGAAAGCAAACGGCTTTCTGTTAACCAAACGTTATTTCTTGAACTGTAATTTGTTATTTTAAAATGTTAATGCGCGTTATTTTAAAATGTTAATGCGCATTGTAGATAATATTGTTTCACTGAATACATGTTTTGATGTTAAAGTTTGAATATATTCATTGACGTTGTTCATTAGAATTTATTAGTTTCGCTTCTGACATACAGCAGCAGATGTTTTCCCCCGCGGAAATGTTTAGACTAGCGATGATTTATGATGTGTTTACGTCAAATCTTTTATTATTTTTATTTCCTTTGAGTGCTGTTGTTCCTTATTAAATGTTTTATTCTACATAAAATAAAATATTGTACTTGTTGATTTATCTTTCGACGAACATTTTGAGAAAATGATTATAATATACTACTTCAGGTAAATATAATTGTTTTCAATTTAATGAATGCATGTCTTAAAAAATATTTCTTGAAGCGAAAGAAAATAATTATGAATAAAATCGAATGACTATTTAAATAAAGTAAAAGAGTTACTAAGTGTGTGTTGCTTAATCAGCTTAATATTTTGTTAAGATTAAGATTTCGAAGAATTCAGCTTAAATATAAAAGCTTATGGTAAGACATTTATGTATGTTTTGTATGTTTTGCTAAGTAGTAAACAATTTTTGAGCAAATTTATTATATGTTATTTTCTTGATACAAGTTGAATTTATGAGGGCATTTTATGATATTTTTACGACTTCGAAATAATAAACTTTGTGAGTATTATTGTTTACATTTATAAATACTGTTTAATAGTGGTATATAAATGTACGAGTAACATTGTTTACATTCATACATGCTGTTTAATAAGGATATATACATTTTACTTAAAGGTATAATTATTAATTCTAAAATACTGTATTGTGAATAAAATCGAAATAACAACAAATTCAACTTCATCTTTCCAACTTCATCTCTCCCCCCTGACCTCTCATATAATTATGGCTTACCTAGCCAAAGCACGAAAAGAGGATTTAAAAACTCTCGCTGCAGAACTGGGTTTCACTGTAAACGACACTATGCGAGTAATAGATCTTAAAGATCTTATTGTCAATTCTGACACTTATGATGAGGCTTTTACCAGGAATCTTCTGGAAACTTTAATCGAAACTAGACAACAAAAACAACGTGAAAGCAACGATCTGGAGACACGTCAAAGAAAAGAAGAACTTTTATTAGAATTGGAACGTTTAAAGTTAAACCTGGCAGCTGCTAGCTCAAACCCTAACTATGCCACCTTTGCTTCAAATGCAGCTATTGGAACAAATATTCAACACCTAATCCCTAAATTTACAGGAACTTCTGACATTGCAACCTACCTGAAAATTTTTGAAAGACAATGTGAGAAAGTTAATATAAAACAAATAGATTACATCACTCATCTCCTACCTCTTCTGCATATAGACATTTCGCAAATTATTTTAAGAGAACCAAAAGACAAATTAGAAGATTATTCTTACATCAAGAAGATTCTGCTACAAAGATTCAAATTAAATGCTGAATCATTTCCAATTAAACTTACTACACACCAAAAACATCCTGGGTCCTTATGGAAAGATTTTGCTTACGAATTAAACAAGAGTCTCGAAGAGTGGCTTCATAGTCTCGATGTTACAGACTTTGAATCACTCAAAGACTTGGTCCTGACGGATCAGCTTAAAAGAAGAGTCAGTAGTGACGTTAAGGAGCATTTTATTGATAACAAAATCGAACAAGTGACATACAGGGAACTCAAAACCTTTTCAAATCGTGTTCAGCAACAAACAGAGGAAAAGCGACCTCCTTTAACATGCTATGGGTGCGGAAAAACTGGTTTTATCAACTCTAAATGTCCAGACTGTAACCCCCCAAAGACTTCAAATTCATCAAATTTTGGCACTATCCAAATCCGATCCTGTTTATCTTCCACTCGGACTGCTGTATTTCCAATTAGTATTGGTGGTGTTTCCGGTACAGCTTTCGCCGACACTGGTGCTAGTCACTCAATTGCAAGTGAATCCCTCTATCATATTCTGCAAAAACAAGATGCAGCATTTGAAAAGACAACACTACAGGTGTCTTTCGCTGATGGTTTGGTATCTGAAAAAGAGGTACTTCGCACCGAACAAATCATTCTTCTCGAAGGCAGAGAGTTCAAAACTCCGCTCCTTGTGTTGCCTGATGCCAAAAATAACTCGACTCTGTTAGGAACTGACTTCCTTCAAAAAGCTAAAATTGTTTTAAATCTTGCTGAAAATAAGTGGTGGAACTTTTCTGATGAACCTCGAAGAAAATATAGCTTCGTGAAACCTCATCAATCCCAAGTACTGGAAGAAACCCCAGTTGTTGTAAACAACTGCCGACTACGAGAAAATGAAGGACAGCAATTAACTACAGCCCAACGGCTTGCAACTGATGCATTGCTTAACAAATATCACACTGTCTTCAAAGTAGGGGGAGAAACCACTAATCAAAAGCCATCTGGCTTACTTCAAATTCCAGTCTGTGCTCAACGTTTTGAAACCTTGTAAATTGATCTTTTCGGTCCCCTTCCTGAAACACCGTCTGGTGAAAAATGGATTTTTATTGTGCAGGATTGTGCTACGAAGTGGACAGAACTATTTGCTTTAAAGGAAGCCACGGCCAGAGAATGTGCCACTATTCTTTTGGAGGAAGTTGCCCTTCGATTTGGGTTATCCAGGAAAATAATAAGTGATAATGGTACCCAGTTTACTAGTGCTGTTATGCAACAACTATGCTATATCTTGAACATTGATCAAAGTCTTACTCCTGTCTATCACCCACAATCTAACCCAGTTGAAAAAGAAGAATAGAGATCTGAAACCACGTTTAGCAATACTTGTTGGTAACGACCATCAGTCATGGAAGGATAAACTGCCATTAATAAGGTTTGCTTTGAATACAGCCAAATGTGATTCAACTGGGGACATTCTGCTTCTTTTCTTCAATTTGCACGAGAGTTACGAACCTTAGATGATGTAAAGCATGATATAAAAGCCGTAATTGAGAACGATAATTTTGTTCCCGAAATTACTCCATATTTGAAACGTTTGCAAGAAATGTACAACAGGTACGAGAAGGAGTCGAATTGCATCAAGATAAACAGAAACGATATGCTGGTACAGAAAACGAAGAGAAACACCGAAAATTCGTTTCCTGGAGATAAAGTTTGGGTGGGTCACCCGTCCACCCAATCAGCAAAGGTCCACTGAAGAAAACTGCTAAATTCATGCCCAAGAGAGATGGTCCTTATGTGATAGTGACTACAAGATCTCCAACCACTTATGATATTGCCGATCCTCATGAACCAGACAAAATTCTCGGCAAGTATCATGTTTCAGCCTTGAAACCATATCAAGATCGAAATAAGCAAAACTCAGCTCGTGCAATTCCAGTGGTTCCCTTAAAAGAGGACGCCCGAAACGTGTAATACCATCCGAATCTGCACCTGTTGCACAAGGTGCTGGTGACGCAAAATCTACTCCTCGTCAAACTGGAGCCCGTCCATCTGATTCTCCGCCCGCTGCACAAAGTAGACAAATGTCAGTTCCTGACTTCTTGCCGAGACGTCTACGAAGTCAGAGGGGGAGAATGTAACAGACCTATTTAAGTGTAATTGAACTATTTTTATTCATTTATATTTATTATTATTAATGTAACAGACCTATTTAAGTGTAATTGAACTATTCGCCATGAACTCATGAACTGTAACCGAACTATTTTATTTAAATGCCATCTCGTGGCGATATGAAAAAACGTCAGTCGAACTCCAGCCGCCATGATGTTAGTTTACTATGTCTCTCTGTTATTCAACTGTTTGATGTTCCATTTGGTATATGTTTCATTTTTATGTATATTTCTTTTGTTTGTAACCGTTCCTGTGTGCTCTGTTAATAAATCCTTTTAAAGCTAGCCGGCATTAGTGTCTATTGAGGAACGGCTACATCACAAAGTTTAAAATTCTGAAAAAGATTCAAAGCTAAATATTTATTGTAGATGTTGGATTGATTATACAACTCTATTACTTCAAATGATTTTTTCCGATAAAGATTTTTATTTAATGCTTAATCATATAATTTTAATATATATTTTTCATGCCCAGTTTTATATGTCATTGAATAGTATTTGTCAAACACTTGCATAAGATTAACCTATTTATAAATATTTCTCCCTGAATAATAGGTTTCCTTCAGAATTTGTTATTACTGTATTGTTGGATAATATTATTATTATATTTTATTTGATTTTTTTACTTCCTTGTACAAAGTAACGGAAGTATTGTAATAGCGGAAAATTTAGGGCATCATATTTCGACGGAAAAATCTACTTTGAATGTTTCCGAATTCACTTGGACCTTTTTTTCCCGTGTGATGTCAGTACATCGCACAGAGTAAAAGACGTTTTTTCCCCAAAAGAAATTGTAAAAGTGGATTTAAAATGGTTTCAAAAGAGATTTTTTTTCGTTATATCTGTACATATTGTTCGTTTGAATTGAATGCACAAGTCCGATGAAAAAGGAACAAGTTTATTATTATCACAACAAAAATGCTTGAATCTCCTTAAATATTCGTGCAGTATTACAATATCTCACAGTAGTTATCTTTTAACTACTCAAACGTTCAAGCGAACTTAATTCAAAACAGCTAGAGAAAGCAGTTTTCTAAACAACAACAAACTAATTAATCATCTAACTAACTGAATTGATAGATTTTACTTCTTTTTTATAAGATTTTTAAATCCCGCGCGAGAACTTTCTGGAACTTTCTCGAAATCAAAAAGAAATATTTATTAAATGTTACATGCACGCGCTCTTGTATTTTCAGTTTCCCGGCTTAGCTTTCTTTTAATATTCGTCACGCGCTGCACTGCGCGGGAAATAAAACCATTTAATTTACAATTCAACTAACATTAGCTATTTAAATACCAAATACGTAACAGTATGTACGTATCTCACATAATTTAAAAAAATTAACCGTAGAGCGTTGAAGTGTTTTATATGGAACTATTATTGTATCTAGTGTGCACCTCTTCCTTTTATTTCAATCCGAAATACTAAATGGATGCACACACACACTATATATATATATATATACAAACTCATTCCTCACTCTGCTTAAAAGTCTTTACCTGGCCTTTTTTTTCTCAGTCTCTTGTCGTAGTCATATACTTCCATTCACAAAAGTGTTTTAAGTGACGAAAATCTTCATGCTTTGCCAATAAAATATTAAAAAAATTTTTTTTTGAGCAAATAGCAAAACCTAACTTTTAATACGTCCCCCTTTTAACTTTTAATTGCAATTATATTTAGGAAAGTTTCGTATGCGTTATGGTAAAATAAAATTATGATACACGTATGAGATGTTTGACTTCCGTACGGTAAACACTGACCAGGATATTTAATTTCAAGATTAGCAGTTTTGGATGTCATTTTGAACTTGCCTTGAGGGATTGGTTAATTGAGTTAGAATAATTCGAAAGTTTCAGTGAAGGGTAGCAAAAAGTGTGTTTAATTTAATAGGCTGTACAAGAAGGTAAATATGAAACCACATTTGGTTTTTTTGAATGTGTTATTCAGTATATTATTTTTCGAATGTATTCAGGTGCATTGTACTTTGCATTACATTTTGTAAGCGTTTGGCGTTATTTGCTATGCGTATATACATTTAGATACATTTGTAAAAATTTATAGTATAAGTACTCTGCCAATGGTATTTGGAGTATATACTGAGCCTCTGTATATTGTGTATTAAAACAATAAACCCTGTCAGTAACTTTTTTCCATTGTTTTACTAAAAGTTTTATGTAGTAAGTCCCCGATTCTCTAACGAATTGAAAAAGAGAACGCATGAAAATACCTACCGCAAGAATTATATAGGCATGAGAGAAGTAAAAAGTAGAGAAGAATAAATCGAATCTTAAAGTTCTACATATATTTTAAGACTTGGCGGTAATATTAAACGAATTTAAATGATAAAAAAATAATATTAAATAAAGTTTAAATGAATGTGGATCAACTATTTTTACAACATAGCTCAAACTGTCCACAACAGTCAGCAGTGGAGTTGAAATAAATCATGAAATACGTGAAATCAAAAACTTTACTGTGCACGATGTTTCGAGTAAAAACTTCATTAAACGTTGTTAAACTTTAATTAGAATGCCTAAAACGTAACAATAAATTGAGCCAATTCAAGTCTGAAGAATGTGTTTCCACCTAAGGCGATAAGGTACACCGCATGCAGATAGGAGAAAACTTTCCCTCTCTTTCGTGTTATGGAACGATAGGAGGGAAGATTTTTTTCCCCTTTTGACCATGTAAGACCAGCTGAGTGCGTGCACGTAACAGACATTTTTTTTTCTTTGCCTTTTTTAATATAGACCATCTGCCATCTAGCAAAGTTAAGGGATAAAAATAAATACTTGCCTGTATACCTTGAGTAGCACCAGAACTTAATATAATGTCCAAATAGTTTGTAGGAATGCCATCGCGTCTTTCTATGTATTGAGCAATATGCTTCTTAATTATCTCTACACCCGCACTGTCACTGTAAGAACCTATAATTTGTAAATCTCAATTACTGCAGGTTAAAGAAATTGTATAGAAAAAGTTTATGATGTAATTAAATAACAGCAGATCATATTATACTCAGTATTCTTCTGATAAAATAATACAGATTATTACAAAGGTTTGTTTTGTTGTATATACGTAACATGATTCCCGAGTGGTTGACAGAAAAATACTGTTACACTTGGCAATTCTTAATAGAACAAACGCGTTAGAATAAAATGTTTACTTCTCATTGAGAGCATTATTCCTGTCGCTGCGATAAACACAACAGCTTCACAAATTAAAATCGAAGAAAAGTACACTAACTACCACATAAGTTTGATATCTGAATCATTTTGTAAATAGCAGGCAACGTAACAGGTATTATTACCTCAAAATCGCTCAAACCCTATTAGACTGCCAAGCGAGTTACACACCGTCTGAAAAGGTATTACAATGTCTTATAAAGGTTTTTAAATAAAGCTTTTTTTTATTTCAGCTTGTATTTAAACAGAAGGCATAAGTTATGCTTAAAATCAAAACTTTGCCATTTCTGGGCATAACAGATATAAGCAGAAGTTAGGAAAACATCTTTGTAGCATCATAGGTGAGTGAGGTATTGTTGAACCTAGCTAAAAGTTAAAGTTCCACATTAATTTTTTGGGAGAACATGGGTGGTAGCCTGAGTGTCTCCCAATCTTCTTCCCCTATCACCAACTCCTCGAGAGAACTTTCGGCTTGCTATGTCTTCTGAGAGTCCCCATGACACACAGATTCTATACTCTTATAAATATCCATGCCTTATTCGGGATTCATATCCGGACTCATCGCTGGTGAGCGTCACGAATATTATACCAGCTGGGCGGCTATTAAAGCAACATAAAGTTGAATTTACAGTTTAAAAAGATTGTTACCGGAGCCTCAGTTTGGCCTGATTAAGCTGGCTAAATACTTTAATGGCGCATTTTAACTTCGGCAAGCAAATGCTAAACGCAGAAATATTAACTAGCAGAGCTGGGAAACAGAGAAGGTGCAAGCATCGTTGCCAGTATCTAGAACATTCAAAACCCTCACTTTAAATGATTTTTAACCTCATTTGCATTCTGGTGAGGGGTAATGGAAAATAAAGTTATAATAAAAGATTCAACTCATAAAAATTGTTCAGTTAGCATAAAATACCTTATAAGTTAATCCTTCAGCACAATATATTTCAATTGTTGCCACAAAAAATTGCCACATGTGTTGCCTTTTTATATCAAACATCACAATTCAGACTATAAAATTAGACAAAGTTCAAAGTTAGATTAATACTGCTTTTACGGTTGCCTTTACTGATTTTCAGAAGTAATTTGACTAAAGATAGACAAAAATTGCTGTTTTATGGGCTCGGATCAGAATCATTCGCTCACTGAACTGAATCAGTTATTGTTTTTTTTAAGATTCACCATTCGCTAGCAATAACCTTGATGAAAAACAGTGGGAGCGTTAGTCAAATCAAGAGAGGTTAGTGAGAATAGAACTAAGAGCGGAAAGAATTGGATGAGTAGGGGGATCGGGAATAGTTAACCTGGCAAGAACCAATAGCAGAAACAAACGAACAAATAGTACGGCGGAAGAATAAGTTTAATCAAACGCTAACTGCCTGAACTAATTCCTTTCTAAGTTCTGAGATTTTCCCAAACTCCTTTTTACGTACAACTGACAGTAAAATTCTAGAATAAACGGTTTTCAAAAAGTTGATTAGGGATAAAAATTAAACTGCCTTTTAACCTGGGGGAGAATAAACATTATTTTCTATCGTAAAATGAGAAACGAACTTTTCTAGCACGCTTCTAATAAGAGCTGCATTCTTTTTCTCGCCAATCATGCTTTTGCTCTTCCAGTAAAGGAATTAATTTGTGAACGAATAGCACTTCTCTGTTCCTGGCACGCCTGCAACACGAACTCTCTGTGAAGTGTAAAATAGCTAGCACTCCGTTTTCTAGAATCAAAGCTGATATACTCAGTAAAGTTGATTGGTTCTTAGAATCAGTTCCGGAGCGAATCAACCAACATTAAATCTGAGAAAGATCTGGCTTGAAGAAACAGAGCCTTGTCAGACTATTTTGCGATGGCAGAAATGAATTTTAAGAATAAAAAATATTACACATATGTGTAATTAGTTGAAATTAGCCACATAGTGGAAATTATGTAACAGGAAAATAAAAAGTTTAGAGAGCTGTCTGTTGTATTTTATTATAATAGCAAAAGTAGCTTGAACATATTTATACTACTTTAACATATATTAAGAAAAAATAATTTACTCTGTAGCTGTACAAACCAACACTTCCCCCTCCACAGAATTTAAGAATATCACGTGCTCTTTCCTTCACATCATCTGGAAATCCCTCATCTTTCATCAAAACTGGATATGCACATAGTGTTAACACCTGAAAATAATTAAAAAAATTATATCATAAAACAATTTTATATCATAAAAGAATCTTCAAAAAGTAGTAACAATTTGTTGAAATATGCCTAATCAAGAGGTAATGAACTGTAATTAAAAATGATTATTAAATTTTACAAAAGAATTTTAAGTCCAACACCAGAAGTGCATAAATAGCATATGGCGGCCGCGGAGTAGTTGTTTCTTTATGGCTCGCCATCTCTGAGCCTTCGGACTTTAAATGGTTACTCATGGCGACATCTATGAGTCGACAATAAGAACTGCGATGCAAAATCCTCGAAAGCCTTAGAAGGACAAAAAGTGAGGACCATTTGGCGCTTTACCGATCACTCCAAAACAACTGTCATGAAGTATGCATTAAATAGCCGGGTCTTTCGTAAACTACACGACCAGTGTCAAGAAAGTTTAGCGATTTGCACTGTATTTGTCATCAAAGCCTCTCGATTTCAGAAAAGCTGACGGATCAATGATCCAGTTGCTTCTCTGATATCGTTTCAACTATAATGAATCAGAGGACAAAAATAACCGAGAAATTAAGAAGGCGCGACCAGTTTAGTCTGTAGGTTGTTTTCAGACTGAGCAACTGGTTAGAATGCTCTTAAACTCTCAAGAGACTCTTACTAATAGCAAGATCCACACATAATGATTGCAATAAATTTACTTTCAATATTTGTTTCTTTGTTTTCAGTGTGTTTACGTATTGTTAATAGAGCATCCCATAGATTTATAAAAAATATTTTTTAGTTCTATATGCAGTAAGTAATACGCAATCTAAACAAATCGCAAACTAGTCAGTTACTAATCTTTACATGACGTTGTCCCATCAGCGCAGCCTACGGTCACCCTGAGCACAGTACAAGAAAATAAGAGCTGTCATTCATTAAAAGCTAAATGCATATCTGTTTATAGGTTATAGTTAATAGAATGGTGTGATTATTTTCAAAACAATTTCTAAAAATATCAGAATTATCAGAATATGATGTACTTTTTTACCTGTCGAAGAAAAGTCAGTGGTTTCTGACCCATAGCATGGCAGTCTCCAATGTGAGTTTTGATAACCTCAGTAAAAGGTTTCTTCATGCCCTATTAAAAAATTAAATCAATGATATAATTTGCTTTTCTTTTTATGATACATTAAGTGCTGCTTAATGCGATCTCGTTTATCCACGACTATTTTGGTAACATTTACCGAATGCTAACCCGCGAGAACATGCACTCATTTTCAAACACGAGAACTCGCGCCAGGTATCTCATACCCTAGTGCATTTGTGCTCCTGAAATATGAAGTAATGCTTTTTATAAGCAAACCAAATATAATTAAGTATTAAAAATAATAGATTAAAGAATTTTAGTGAATTTAATTATGCATACTTTTTTCACATACGTGGAGACTTTTTTTGCATTTTTGACACATAAACCTTGATTTTTCTGTCCTTATTACATGGACAAAATGCACATCGTTTATAATTTCCTTTGAGTTTTTTTACAGGCGGTTCGCTATTAACGATTTCCAGTTCCTTAGAAATGCTAGCATAAGTTGTTTTTCTTTCAGGCTTACGTTTTCTGTGTTGCTCTGAAAGAACGAATCCGAATATCTTCAAAAAGAAACGTCTGTTTCTGAACTGTGTGGTAGGATGTTTCATGGACATCAACAAAATCCTGGCATTAATAGCAGCCACATTCAGCAGCATAGAGTGTATGCTGAAGCCATTTCGTCGACAACGTCCACAGCTCCTTTTGTAAGATTATAAAATGAGATGATATCTGGCTTTTTCAATTCCATGGTCATTTCGTCTATTTTATCATCAGTATGCATTGTGGATAACATAACTACATTCTTGTTCTTTTTCGCAGAATATGAAAAAATTGTTGTTTCTTTTTGAAATCCGAAGACTGAAGAGTAGAACTCCTTTTTCACCAAAAATTCAGGCGGTATTTCTCTTTTATTTTGTCTAAGTGTTCCAACTATTGTAATTTTCTTTTTTAAAAGTTCTTGTGCTAGTTCATATCCCTTATAACAATTGTCAGTTGTCAAGTTGCGTCCAGAATTGAAAAGTTTTGTCATCAACCGCATCACAATGGCTTTCGAACTACAGTCTATTTTGAAGGGTCTATCAGGTTGTTGACCAGCATAATTCTCCATATTTCAGGTATAAAATACTTTAGAATCTACTAGTGCAAATATCTTGATGCCATACTTAGCAGGACTTTTGAGCATATACTGCCTCAATCGGCACCGCCCCCGAAAAGTTTCTAGTTTGTAGAGTTGCGCGCCTCCAACTTGCACGCAACCAAGAGGTGACTGTTGAAACTGGATAAATAACAGAGTCTTGCTAAGGGTTTAAGTCCCTTTTTATTCAACGTAATAAATTACAAGTGCGTGCTCTTGACGCTCACAAACTACGCCAACTCGGCGGTAAAATAAAAATAAGAACCTGAAAAGAAACTAATAACAAGACTCTAACTACGAGGCTCTCTAAAAGTAACTAACCTCACCGCGTTTTACAATACCGCTGCTAATTCAGCAAACTTGAAGATCACGTCGAACGATTAACAATTCTTCAAGGCAAGCACACAGGCCGAAACGCGGGGTTCTTCAATTTCTAACTACCTCCGCGCTCGTGAAGTAAGAACAGCACACCTCGAACTCGTTTCCTTTCTATTTAACTCAGAATACTTCCGCTGATAATTTGATTCCTTGCGCGTTCAACTAAAATTTACATACTCGGGCATTGGCAGTTCCAGGGGAAAGTAAGGCTTGACAGGAAAGATAGTTTAAACTTAAAATAAATGTTAGTTAAAATAAATATAAACCCTACATTTGCCGCTGCCAGAATTTGGTAAACTTGGAAGCAGGTCCTACAAACGACCTGTTTTTAGTATCTATAATTCTGAAATAACTCTCGAGAGCCTCGTTCACACAAAAAAAATCTTATGTAACAACTTGTATACTAAATTTCTGTGTATACTTATAACTCTCTCTTCTTACAGCAACTTTTCCTGGACTTCATCAATCAATCTTGGCCTTTTCCTTCCAGCATCTGGAAGGAATAAGTATCAGTATCTTTCTAAATACATTATAATTTACACTTTCTTGACACAATAAATTTTTGTTTTTAAACGATTCGTTTTCCTTAGTTATTGCTTAATTCACATTCATTCAATTTTTCAAGCATTAATTTAACTTTACCCTGGCTCTCCACCATGTGTGGTGTCAAACGGGAATATTCGTGTTTTAGGCTTACAACACTTCCCCTAACCACCATGATTTGTTATAATTCAACGACCAAATAGACACACCTTACTCGACATTCTACAACTCGATGAGCTACTTTAACATTCTTAGAAATTCAAGTGTAGGTGGAGAACCCTAAAAACACATTCATTCTAACTTCCCCCTCATTCATCTTTAGACATGCAGGCTTTCGCTCTAAAGCATGATTTTATCTACAGTTTAATACTTAAATTTTGAATTCATTGCTTTTGAGCATTTTACTTTTAGCATCTAAAATTTTATGCTTCTAGACTAAATTCTACTTTTACATAACATTCAAGTATTTACGTACATTTACAAAATTTTAATACATATGATTTTTACAATTTACCATAAAATGAATAAGAGAAAATAAATTTTTACTTTACTCATTCTTCGCCAAGCTGGCGGCACTGAAACTAAATTCTTATTAATACAAGAATACGAAGTTTATTTTTATCTTCGGCCAAATTTTGGCTTTAACATAACAGAATTAGTCTTTCGACCAACAGAAAATGCTTGTTTTTAGCTTTTATACTTAAAGAAAATAATACTTTTGCCTTAGCTAAATAAAGTAAAACAAAACTAAGTCTCAACCGAGACATATTGACTTTCGTCAAAACATAGAACTTCGTACTTATGCATAACATTTCGGAACAAAAGTGAAAAAAAAATTATAGAAGATTTTAACTTACCTTTGAGTTTTCGATGATTGAAACTCCGTCATTCTTTTCTGGCAATATTGTTCCCAAGTTTTAGGTTTCATGGACGTCAATCTTCTCCTTACTGACCTCCGAGTGTCGTCCACATTAGTTTTTCTTTTGCGTCCTCTGCATGCTGGCCTCTTGGCGGAGTAATCGTCGGGTTGTTGTCGTTTCCGTTTTTCCATTGGACGGCTGGTCTTGACGTCCTCCGGTCTGGAGTCCTTCTTGAATTTCTTCTGTTGTTGGTGGTCTTTTCGTTCCTCCTGCTGTCTTTTCGTTCTCGGGAACGGCGGCCTTGTTTGGCACCTGACTCTCTGGCCCTGGGAGCGTTCTCCTCGATGTATAATTTCTACTGCGATACGTTGTAGTGGTGTTTTCCTCTTTACCAAGGTTTCTTTACGCGGCGTGCTTCTGCTATTCTTGTTTTTCTTAAATGCTGGAGTTTGAAAGTTTTTATTTTTTCTTTTCGGTACCGTCGCATGGGTTGTAGAAGGGCTAGGTTCTCTCTTCAGTTCTCTGCTTCTTGGGTGGTGGAACAGTTGTTGTTATTTCTGGACCTTCTACTTCGTTTAGACTTGAGCCCTGCAAGGAACTTTTAAGGATTTCAAAATCATTTGGATTATAGTATTTTTTCACCTGGTCGGGACTTGCTTTACAGATTTCCCCTCTCTCGTTCTTAAGGTATAATACGACTCCTTTGATTTCCTGAATTACATAGGGGGCCTTCAAATTTTGGAGCTAGCTTTGCCGTAAAATTGTCTGGGGCACTTGATAAAGAAAATTTCCGCTTCAATACTTTATCCCCAACTTTAAAATCTGCTTCACGGCGTTTTCTATCATAATACGCTTTTTGCTTATTTCTTGCCGTATCCGAGCTTTTAAGCGCCTGATCAATAAGTTTTTGCACATCTTTCTGTTTAAACTCTTGCTCTCTGTTGCACAAAGAATAATTTATCTAAAGGCGGAATTAACGTTTGGCCTAAAAATAATTCTGCTGGGGTTTTTCCCGTAGTATCGTGATTTGCCGTTCTTAAAGCATAAGCTAATTCATTTATGTAGCCATCCCAGCGCTTGTGATGTGTGCTCACGTAACTGCGAATTATTTTTACTATATTTTTATTCACTCTTTCTGCTATGTTTGCCTGTGGTCTATACGGAACCATTTTGATATGGCGTATGCCAAGTCCCATTGCATATGTTTTCAAATATTTGACTAATGAATTGTTTTTCCGTTATCGCTAATGACTTTTATCGGTGCACCGTATTTTAAAATCGTATCTGTGTAAGAATGCATCTGCGACTGTTTTGGCTGACGCGCGTTTAAGTGGAACAATTTCTGTCCATTTTGAAAAATGATCTACAATTACTAAAAGAAAACGATTTTTATTTAACTCACTCTGGGGGGGGAAAAGGACCAAGAAGATCTATGCCTAAAATTTCATTCGGAAATGTAGCGCGAATGCTATTTAAGTACCCTGCCGGGCTGTAATTAATATCATTTATTAACTGACATTGATTGCAGGACCTGACATACGCAGTTACTATTTTGTATAATTGCGGGAAATATACCGCCTCGCGTACCCTTTTTAAAGTCTTTCTGACCCCTAAATGACCCGCTGTTTTCGCGTCGTGTAATTCCTTCAAAATGCTTAATCGAAGCGAAACTGGGATGACTGGTTTGTACTCGAGATTTTCGTTTGTTGTTTTCGTATAAAATAATAAATTATCTATTATTTCATAGTTTTCTGCTCTATTTCTTATCGCATGGATATCTGTGTGCTCAAAGCTTTCGGGGTGTTTCAAATATGCATAGATATTTCCAAATTCAGGATCAGCTTTCAGTTCAGTGATAATCGTATCTCTAGAATATAAATTTTTGAAGTCAACACAGCGCATTTAAGTTCATTTCCTTCATCGTCCAGTTTTATACGAGAAAGTGTGTCAGCTACATTGTTTTCCTTCCCCGGTTTATATTTTATTCTGAGATTATATTCTTGGAATTTTAAAGCCCATCTTATTAACCTGGGCGTTAGGTTTTTCCCCGAGTAAAGTCTACCAACAGCCGCATGATCCGAAAAGACTGTTACTGGCGCTTTGACGAAATAAACTCGAAATTTGTGTACAGC